TGTACACCCTATGGAATATTAGTAATGATTAAAGACAGGTAATCAAATATTTTTTTAAAAGGTTTCTAGAAACTAATTCACATTTGATGTTTGCTTCGACTTATATGTACAATAGTGTGGTCTAAAATATATTATCTTTTTCTACGTAACTACGTAGATTTTTGTGTAGAGTTAATATATTACAAAATAAAAAATATTATTTTAAGATTGAAAGCTTGCTTTCTTAACAATAATTAATACGACACCTATGCACCATAAAGTTTGACCAGAGACAACAGGACGTATAAGTAATACCCGGATTTAAACATAAAAACTTAAAAAGTCCAAAATTGTATTTAAGGTTTGTAAAGAATTTTTAAAAGTATTTTAATTATAATTATCAACAACTCGAATTCATAGGATTAAAGGCGTACTTGCCTAACTTAATTTATTGTTAGGCCATCAAAGGCGTAGTCTAGACTGGTATACCTATTTATAGAACAATTTTTTTAAATACTTTAAAAAAACCCAGAGTATCCCTGACTGCATTGCACTCCTAACTTCTCGGTCCCTCGTAAAGTGAGATGGTTGGTGCTCGAATTCTTGGTATGGCTGCTTTCAGTAGGCAGTAGTTGCTAGTGGGCAGGATAACGTATGACAAGGCCGCAGGATCCTCGGCGAGCGAGTGCGACAGAGATGGGAGAATGGGAGTGTGCAGAGCAGGAAGTACCGGATGTCACCGGATGTGGACCTAGCCGTGTGTGTGTGTATGTGAGTTCCATGTCGTGTGACTTTGGTCATGGTTATGACTCCTGACTCCTTCTCAGGTGTGTGCCTCCGGACTCCTTCCCTTTACCCCTCCCTTCAGAACCCATTCCCACACCCTTTTCACACCGGACACGGATTGTCCCTTTGTTCAGCCGCGCTGTCAGTTAAATCCAACAGGATGTGTGGAACTGTAATAATTTGCAAACTTAGGGATCAGTTGGGTTATTTAACAGCTGATAATTATTGGAGCTAGAGGTTAAAAGCTTAACATATAGATATATTTTTTTAGACGTTAGAACATAAAACAAATTCCCATACCAACTTTTATTTTCTTGTGATCTGTTATGATGTTTTCTCCACATTTTATTTTTTTTCTGGCTAATTTAACCCAGAAAAATATTTAAAGATCTTTATAATAAAGTATATGTCACTGAAATAAATTAAAACATCTAATGGCGTCTCAATTTCCACAGCATATATATTGAACGGTTTAAAAGCTATCAGCACGACTCAAAACAATAATTAATTAATTATAGGAAATGAAATGCCGCAAAGTTTCTCACCTAGTGAGCGAATTTCCAAAATTCCAATTTCCCACGCCCCGCAAAAATTTCGGCAAATTGCCAAGTGCCACCTGTGTGTGTGTGTATCCCCATCTCCCTCCGTTCCACAGCTTTCTCTATTATTTTGTCAAATGTATATTTATTACCGGAAATGTAAAACAACATTGTTGGGAGGAAGGCGGTGGGGATGTGGATGGTTCTGGCCATGGAGACACGTGAATTGCGACCGAAATGACAACGGTGGCAACAGATGCCAAATGAGGTGGGTTGGTGGTTCCATCGGCAGGTGAAACAAAAACAGAACCAGATCCTGAAACACCACCCACTGGCGGATGACGCTGCTGCTCTGCAACGGACAATTTTAATGGGAAATGAATTTAATTGATTTTCGCGTGGCATTTTGTTATTACAACCTAAATGAGATTTCCGTCTCTGAACAAATAATTGTCCTTGCGTTCAATGGGCTTCAAATATTAAAAAATGTATGTGCTTAAATTGGATTGGGTGAGAAAAAATAGCAAACTTTTGTTTTGATTGAAAATAAAATTTAAAAACCGAATTTAAAGCAACAACCGTACGTATTTATTTGTAAAACTATATGATGAATACGAATTTTTTATTTCTTTAAATATTAATGTTGAGTACTTTTTCGTGAAAGTAATATTTAATTTAAGGAATATTTAATATAATGATTTGTTTTAATTTAAGTAAGGATTTCAAGCTATTTTTATTTTTTATTTTTTATTTTTTTTAAATTGTACTTTAGGTTTTACCTCCGAAACTTAAAATTCAACAACAATTTCTGAATGGGCGTGGTGGGGCAAAGCAGCCATCTACTTTTCCGTGTTTTGCTTATTTGTTCAAACAGATGTTGCAGTTATAACCAGTTGCCTTTGTTGTTGGCCCTGTTATTTGTTTCAATGTGGTCGCCATTGGTTAGGTTTAGTTTTTGTTGCGAAATGTTTATTTCGGCAATGGTTCTAGTGGCATGGATTGGTGTCCAATTTGGTTCAAGACTGGTCCACGTTGAATTGACGGGGCGTGGATCCTGAAACAGATACAAAACCGCAGAAAATATTTGAAAATTTCCATACTAATGTTCCGTAATTTTTCCCAGCATGGAATGATTTCAAATTTACCACTTTTAAAGAACATAATTAGATAAGGACTTAGATACTTTTTAGCGATGAAATTAGGTTACCTGTAAATTAATGTATTTTTGTTACACATTATTATAGTCAACATCAATGTAAAGTTCAAAATCATCGGTTTGAAAAAGGGGGTCTACTGTTTATGTCTATAATTTCTAAGCCATTGTGTATTACAGCACAGCCACTATGTGAGTTAAAATTTCCCCTAAAAAATCCACCTTTTAAATGGTATGCAAATAACTGAGCATATGCAAACTCTATGTAATTAAAATCTAACAATTTGGAATAAATGAACAGCAAACCACGAGAACCTCGCCACTGCCAGAAGTGGTTTATGCGCCGTCGAATGGAGCTGGTATCAGTGTTAAATTTCGACGGCCACCGCAGCCTATTTATAAACATTTACCCCAATTTAACGCACGTTCTACGAGGCGAGGGCTCCAGATGTACATATATATATATATACGGCTATTGGCATTTTGGCATTTTGGCCAGGGGCTGCACATCCGCTTGTGGTGGACCACAAACGCTGCGGCTGCTTGGTAGGCACGCGAAATTCGGCCACGCCCATGGCTTAACTACTGGATTGTCTTTGTTGCCGGTCGGGGTCACCATCGCCGAAAAACAAAAATGTCAATGACCACGGGCAATCACATTTATCAGACCATCAAAACCATCATTTTACTGGCTCCCCGTTGTTTGTTTCGTAATTAAAGGAGGGGTAATCCCGTAGAAAAAGCGTTTATGTGTCACTCAAATCAGTTCACCGTGCTTAAAAAGTTAATACAAAGGAATATTTACGTCGCACACTGAAGGTCGTAAATATACTCCCACCAGAGCTTTATCCTTTTCGATCTCTCCCTGTTGTAAATTGTAACTTGCTGTAGGTATATTTGGACTTCGAAAATTGCAATGAATAGATCAACATGAACATTTTGTAACTTAATAAAAAGCACTTTGTAGTGAACAGACGAACAACTAAATTATAACTAGTCAATTTACAAGCTATTAAATTATTAAATGTAATGATATAAATAAAAAAATTTAATTGAATTTCTTTAAAAATATAAGAAACACATAATTTAAGTAAAAATGTAATTTTTGTAGTAATTTCTACTATCCCATTTATTTTCTCTCCCCATCTTACTTAGTTTTATCAGGATCTCTGGTGGTTACAAAAAGACAATCAGGGCATTAAAAGCAACCGAATGCGGGGCACAATGCAAACAACAACGGGGCCTGCAAGTTTTGTGTGCTCTGAGCACTATGAAAATTCAATTACTTTATTTTGCTGTATCCTCATCCGATTTTCGCCACCCGCCCATATGTTTGTACGCCATCTACCGGCCGCAAAACAAACACACCGCCCACCCACTTCCGCCCACCGGACTAGCACACAAACGCGCTGCACCTGTCAGTTACTCTAAACACCAAACATTTCCAACCTTTTTTCTACACGCTCGCGAAATTACATAGAAATTTTCACCCGTTGCCGAAAGAAATGGCAAAGAGAGCATTTGAAAGGGCCAAAAACAGAGAAATAAAAAAGGACCCGAAAAAGGGATACCCTTCCCCGGCCCATTTCGCAACTTGTGCCCACTGCACACATTTGCGGCTCTTCGCATGAGCGCGCAACTTTACTTGCCAAAAACTCCCAAGAACACACCGAATTTTTTGTTAGTCTCCTCTTTTCGGTTTGCTTTCCCTTGGTCCATTTCTATGCTGGCTTGCTTTTAGCTGAAAATCTTCCTTTTTGGCCAGGTTATCTGCGAGCTGGAGTGCGAATGAGTCAGCCAGAACCGCTGTTGGAGATGGGAGCGTGAGTAGAAATATATAACGGGTATATAAAGTATTAAAAGACCTCTTATCCTTTGGCTACAATAGATACCTAAAATCCTTACGATACAATGGGTCAAAAAAAATGATATCTTATCCTATTATCCTTCCTAGATTTTGTACTACCCGGCCGGATTTGTTTCTAAAACGTTTTTGAGTTTATATAGCCATAAAAAGAATCTAATCAGCTGATCTTAGCTTACCAAATTTGTTTAATTTGTTATTTGCAGAACTTTAGAAAGAAAAGAAAACAATAAATTTTAAGTTTAAGTGTTGCATTGAACTTTATTAAAATTACTTAGGACTGCTTTTCTTACATTGCCATCCCTAATTGAGGATTAGTTCGGGCTCTGATTCTCCTTTTTGCTGCATGGCTGCGGGTTTTTCGGCAAGACAAATGCATTTGTGAGCGTAGGCAAGAAACGCGGTCTCAGTCGGGGAAGAATCGGAGCCTCTGTCGGTGCTTTTTGGCTTTTAGTTAAATAGAACTCTATTTGGAGTCTGCGAGATGCTACCGCCTTATGTGCGAGTTTACTCTCGGATCGTAGTTTGCCCAAGTTTTTGGCACTCGGACTGATTGGCAACATGTCAGCCCTCGAAACAAGCTAAGGCAAAGATGGATATTTGAAAATCGTTTCGACTCGGTGGAGAATCGGCTTAACTAATTGCATTTGAACGGGCCGAACTTTTACTATTTTCGATTTCACTTAAGGATTGACACATCTTCATTACGCACTCATTGTTGAAGTCATGTACTTCGTGCTTGGCTTTTTCTATTTACTGCTGTTGGTCGAGGGAATCAGTGAAAATAAATGTGAGTACAAAAATTATAAAATACAAACATTTACAAAATTGAAAGCTAAATATTATAGACTCAATACAAAGTTCACAAAAAAAAATTGGTATGATATTTAATAGTTCTAAAGTTACCGTGAAATAATTACTTAAATATGAGTTGCTTTAAAAATCAAAAAACCTAGTAAACTGTTTTACAACTATATTTGCTAAAGTGTTGAAAATAAATACGAGTATAAGCATTTTGCATATTAGAAGAGCTGATAGGTCGAATTTCATAATTACTAAATATTTTCTTCATTTAGTCAGGTGCAAAAAACGCTTCAGCCTTGATTGCCAACTACGAAAAATAAAATGGTTCTACAATCCCATAGCGGCTATGTGTTTGCAGAGACTGACTTGTAGACACGGTTTTACTTATCGAACGGATTGCGAACGCCATTGCATTGACCCTCGCAAACGGGAAAGTGAAGAACCAGCTAAGTCGCTTGCGGAACTTCAAAGGATATTAGATCAGCTTAACGGAAAATACAAGCAAAAGACGAAGCCTCCAAGGCCACCCAGGGCAACCAGGTCAACCAGGTCAACCAGGCCAACCAGACCAACCACCAAGAAAACCAAACCTTCACCAACTGTTTCCAGAACTGTTACAACTCCAGTTCCCGTTGCTTCTGAGAACCCAGAGGAGCTTACAATAAAGGACCCTCTTGAAGTATTGGATCCTAGTAATTTAAATTTGCCTAGTGTAGTTACCCAAAAGGCTACTAAGAAAACTACACAATCCAAAAAAATGGTGCCATATACGACTACAACTACTACGCGGGAGAAGGGCATTCTTGAAAAAGTCATTGAGAAACCAAAACAAATATATGAACAACTAAACAAATGGGGTTCACATTAATTCACCTGTAGAAGTAATAAACAGAAAATGCTTCAAAACCTTAATCATTTATACTTTTGGCAGTATTGTTATTAAGAATGATGTTTTTTTAGTGGGTCGGATTGGATCGGTAAAAGTAGCAATGAAAGGGGTAAATCATATTTCATCATAAAGTCGAAAACAGTTAGCAACTGCAGCATTTCAGTTAATCTCTTGTTTTTCTCAAAAAGGTGCTTTGCATACAATGCAAAAGAAGCTATAAAATGAGTTCCTTTCTGGCTGTGAAGAGCCACAAAACTTAATTATGAAGCATTTATAGCGTGAAATAAACCTCCTGTTGCCTCTCAGGATAATTACGGAACACGAAACAACAACAACAACATCAAGGGGAGGGGGGACAAAACAAAAAATGTCGCCCAACAACAACAAGTAACCGCAACTACTTAGCAACATTATACACTTCCGTGCCAGCATCAGGATCTGAAAAACCCACCCAAAACGTAATTATTGTTGCGGTAAATGCCAAACCCCCATTGCCACGCCCCCGCCCTCGACCACAGACCAGGCTTTTTAATTTCTTTATACAAAAAAAAGTTAAACGAGACAAAGGCCATATTATCGACTCCATAATACCCTATACTGTTTTCACTTAAAGAACTTATAAAATAAATGGGTAAACATACCTTCTTTGAAGATATGTATGATAATATATTTATCAGTCATAAAAGGATCTACTAAAACTCTATGGAGAGCTTAAAAAAAGGATAAGTTATCCCAAATACTTAAAACCAATGGTCTCTTTAAATTTTGTATAAAACGCTCTACTTGCTACATATAATATAAACAAATATTTTAGTGAATCGCAAAAATATCTCCTTTTTTTATGATTGTTAATTAAAAATGCATAAATTTGGCTACAAATGTAATACTTATTTTCTGCCCTAAAAAGTCAGTATTGACTCGCAAAACGCTAAAAAAGGCTAGAATGATAATTGTCATACCTCTCTAAGCTCTTTATTTAAGTTCCAATCCATTAACGATATTACAAAGAAAAATATAACTTTAGCCATTTTTCGAAAAAAAACGAAAAAACGAAAAAAACCTTTAAGAAAAATTCGAAAAGTGGTCAAAAAATAAATTTGACACAGTGATGTGGATTGTTATCTTTAGTTGTAAGCTGTTCAGGACACTCATTATTTTAGCTGTAGTCCTTGAATTGACAAAGTAAAAATTACAGATACGCTAAAATATTGGTATATTTGGCTAAAATTTGAGAAAAATTACTTCATTTTAAGGATTATATTTTTAATGAAACCAAAAAAAATTGGATTTCTTAGATCCAATATACCTCATTATTAAGCGGTACGAAAAGAGAGTCGGAAAGACAAACGGACTGAGTGGGTGCTATGGAGTGGGTGCGAAAGAGAGGTGTATATGTCAGCGTGCCGCGAAAATTAATCCATTTGCTGTGACAATGACTTTTATGCGGTTTCCAGCAACGCGACGGTGGCCACCGCCATCCGGAATCACCATCGCCATCGCCATTGCCGGCCAGGAAGCCACTACGCCCAGTTGGCCAGTTGGCAAAGTCAAGCCGCAGGCAGAATGCGGGCCAGGGTGAAAACTTGGTGGGAAATAGGCAAAGGCAAAGGAAAAGCCGGGAAAAAATCAGCCGGGCCGCTTCACAATGCTGCGCGACATGTAAATATTTGGCGACATTTATAAAAAATGTTTTCGGACAGCCCTCGGCTCCTCTTTTCGACCGAACGCGAAGCCTTATCAAAGCAATTATCTCTAAGATGCCTCGTCGTCGACCTGCCCCGCCCACTCCCTTTTGGTAACAGCTTTATTGGACAGTGGGGCAAAGCTTTATATTTTACATATCTAAAAGATATTTGAGAAAAAAATTTTAAAAATAAATATTACGAGTTATTTTGTTTAACAAATTAAAAAAGATAATCCTTATTTTACCTTGCCTTTTTAAAGAGTTAACTATTTTGAAAGTGGTGGAGCTTGGAAAATGCGACATAAGTTAGGATTCGATTTTAGAAAATTTTGGTAAGCCCCAATAAATGCAAGTGTGTTAAAGAAATACTATAACCAACTATTAACTTGAGTTCAGCTAGCTAGTTACATAGATTTATGTACGATCTAACAATTATTTTAATTTTTTACATTTATATTTTCATTTTATTATTTCTTTTTGATTTTCTAAGTAACTGGTCGTGTCCAAAGACGATTTTAAAATTTTTGAAATTTTTTGTTTTGAATAAAATTAGAAGTTTATTTTTTGCTCACCTTTTGACCACTGTGAATCGCTGACAATGACAGTGACCGTCGTCTGCTTTTGTGAATTCGACCCTCCGTCGCCGGTTTGCCGCTGCCTTTGTTTGATTTGGAACAGTAACGGAGACAAAGTACATAACATTTCTCTTGATTTGCTCTATCTCTTTCCCGGGCCACCATTTCTGCGGCGGATTTGGCAAATGCCGAAAATTGTCAAATGTTGCGGTCAATTTGTGGGGTCAACGAGAAGTGGAGCGAAGCGAGGTTATTTAATAGTGGTTGGCGAGGACCGGGTAACCCTAATCCTTTCTTTTTTGCGAAATTCGAAACTACGCTTGAATTGTGTTTCCAGTTAATCAAGGTGATAGAAGAGGTGTGTTAAGTTTAATTTATAGCATTACATGAATGTAAAGGAGAATTTACACCTCCATAAAATATTTAAGTAAGGAAAGAATACATCTTTGATGCTTATCAAATTTATTGGCAGACTTACGATTAATACAAGATCTTTTAAATTCTTTTCACTTAAGATACAACGGATTATTTACATGAGCGCTTGTTGTTGTATTGGATGGATCAACCGAATATGTTTTGCTTGATGGCAGCCCAAATTCCCTGACCCCGTTTCGGGGTCAACTCGTTTTCGATTTCCTTGTTGTATTGCTCTCGGAGCAAAGGATCTATAGGTCCCCAGTTCTTTTTCGGCGTGAAGGCTCCGCGGATTTTCGCACCCACAGTTTTGCCAGGATCTCGAATAATGGCCACAATCATCCAAATAGGCAGTTGAAGAATGCCAAAGGCGGTGATCATCCAGCCAATGCCTGAAAATTAAGAGTTATTAATGGTAGGTGCTTTTATTTTTATCAGTAAGACTCACTGTAAGCCCAGTTCGGGTAGATAATATTATTGTATGTCAGGGGCTCGTAAGTCGCATAGAAGTAGATCAAAATAACAGTCATGATCAGCGGGGTAAAGATGCTCCAGCAGAGTCTCCAGTAGAGACCCACTTTCCGATTTAGCATGAACTCAATGTCCTTGCATAGGCGATCTGTGCCATAAATCCATCCAATGGTGTAGAGCTCAGCGATTCCGAGGACCAAAGCAATCATGGAGGCGCCGAAAAAGTCCACCAGAGTTAGCATATATTGACCGCCCTGGAAATACAAAGAAAATGTAGAAAAACCTTCTAGATATTGGAGTATCTACAACATACCGGCGTTATGTACATCAGACCGATCAAAAAGCTGAGCACCGCTATGAGAAGTGAGCACTGCCACTGCTTGAAGTTGGGGAACCGATCCCGAATGGCGGTCACTGAGCAGGAAGTCATGGCAATATTGGATCCTATACCCAAAACGAAGAGCATCAAGAAGAACAAAACCGAGAAGATCTGTGGCAGCTGCTTGAACTTGGCAATGGCATCGGGATACGAGATGAAGGCCAGACCGGCGCCACCCTTAACCACTGATCCAATGTCGTCAGTTCCGATCTCGTGAGCCAGATGTCCAAGGATTCCGAAAATCGTGAACCCAGCCAGCAGAGAGGTCATTGTGTCCAGACCCGTGACAATGGCCGCATCTCTATGAACATTATGCCCGAACTTGTTGAACGACGAGTACATGATGATGTTGCCGAAACAAACGGACAGGGAGTAAAAGCACTGGGTCACAGCTGCGTACCACACTTTGGGATCCAGGATCTTGCCCCATTGTGGTTTTATAAAGTAGTAGATGCCATCTAAGGATCCGGGCAAAGTGACGGCTCTCACCAAAAGGACACCCATGATCACGTACGGGAAGAGGGCCAGGAAGTAGGATGCCTTTCCCGAGCTCTTGACTCCGCGCCGAATAATGAAGAAGACACAGGCCCAGGCCACAAAAAGCCCAAGGACCAGCTCCCAATTGGGCAGGCCAATTCCATCCTCAATGTTTGGTTTCTCGTGCAGCACTTCCTTACTAAATGGGGAGGGATATTATTTAATTAGCAGAGATATCACTGGGTACAGACCACCACCAATTAAAAACATTCAGACAAAACCATCACCGATTTTATGTTCTAGCTGTTGTGACACTTTCTTTAAAGTTCACAAATTGACTATGGTCTTAACGTTTGTACTTTACCAAAATCTTATTGATAAGCAATAAATGTATTGAAAGACTATAAAAATGTTATCTAAATATTAATGATTGGTTGAAATAAAGTTTTGATACGTATGAGTGTTAGGGCATTTAAAAAAAAATATATATTTAGGTGAATAGAACCTTACAAATATGCACATATTGAACTAACCAACTAAAAAAAATTTCCCCTTTGGATTCCCACAATGATATTTATAATACGATTTGCTTAGAAACCCTATATTAGTCATTTAGTGAACTTTCCAGTGAGTGTCACAACCGCAATGTCCCAGACTTATAGCACTTACACGAAGTACCATTCCGAACTGGTGATGACCCGATCGTTTTGTGATTTCATAGTATTATTTTGAGTTCGCTGATCGCTTTCCACCAGAGACCAATTACTCGCATCGGGGGCCGAGTTAATGCAGAGGCTACCCCACTCCGCTCGGCATGTGGCCCAGGGCAGTGGGTCGCCGAATGATTCAATGAAATATCGGCCAATTATCGCTACCAGGGCGGCATAGTAAGTGTTCAGCATGAACACCTGGAACGCCTGGCCGGCTCCAACACCTTTTTCCAATCGATTATAAACGAGTTACGGGAAGAAAGAGTTTAAGCACAATTCGAATGAGATAGAAGAGAGTTATGAGAGCATTAAG